ATATGGTTTAAATTTCGTTTGCTATTTGTCAAATAGACATTGTTTTTAGTATAAGACTCAACTGGGAATATACCCAGGAATCTCTTACCACTGAAAATGGGATATTAATGAGGTCTTCCAGGGTTTCCATTAATAGATAAACTTAGATAAAAGGTCAGATTGGATCTACTTTTTAGTCTGTGGTAGTACGTGCAGATCGTGTTATAATGATGCTTCTGTGTATGGTATATTATGTGGGTTCACTGCTATTTTAGCTTCTGAATTTTTCTTAAAATTTCAAATTTAAACCATGCTTTTTGCCTATGATAGAAAAAGACTATAAAGATTACCCAAGCAAAACTTTTTCCTGTGTAAGGAAGATTAACTTGTCTAGTCACATTACAAATTTTGCTCAGAAATTAATTTTTCAGCTTTTTCTCTAGGAAATGATACACCTGAAGAACTACGAAAGAAGTTAATAAGGAAGATGAAGTTAATTCTGAGCTCAGGGTCTGATGAAGAATGTGCAATTTGCTTGGATTCTCTAACGGTTCCTGTTATAACACATTGTGCACATGTCTTCTGTAAACCCTGTATTTGCCAAGTCATCCAGAATGAGCAGGTTTGTTTTACACTTGGTACGGTTTCAGTGTTCGGTGGAGTTATGCCCCACTCCAGTCCTGAGTGGAATGAAAACTCAAGTCCAACGGACTATAAAGAATTTCGCACTTGCATTTGCTAATGTACCTTTCATGGTTAATTATGTCAGTGTTTTACTAGGAGATATATTTCTTATAATTAAGTCCTTTTAACATAAAAAGATACTATATTTTGGAGGCATGTTTCATAGTCAATATGCTAGTTCTAATGTTTACATCATTACTGTCCAATAAATAGATCAATAATGTGGGACACAAAAGTAATTTTAAATTTTCTAGTAGAAACAGATGAAGTTAACTCTTACATTTTTATTTCTTCAGTATATCAAAAATATAAAAATTATTTTATTTCTTTCTTTCTGTGGAAACAAGCTTTCATTACACCAGCAGTCTCTAGTGATTGAGGATTCCCCTCAGCCAGAGAACCCCTCCTAAACTGGCAGGGGTCAGGGGCATGGGAAATGGCCCTTGCTGCATGGCAGGGACCTCATGACTTGGGGCAGCCACCTCAGGCCCTGGAGGGGTCTCTGTGCTGTCTCTGTGGCAGTCTGAAATACTGGGGCNAATTTCTATCCATGGATTTTCTTATCCATTTTTTTAAATATTACAATTTCAGGCCTATTTAGGAAAGCCTTTGTAAAAGGCTTAGTACAAGGTACTTCCCTAGTCCTATTTCAAGGCCACTGGCCTTCCCTACATAGCAAGCAACATGAAACCTTTTCCATTGTGTTACTCCCCAGATTTCTGGCATTTGTATTTCTGGTTATACACAAAGGTTTCTCAGATATCATTGTTTGTTTTGACCATATATTTGTCTAATGCAGAGCTTTAATAGCTTTAGAATTGGAGCATACAAAAATTTAGTTAAAGTCTGCAGATTTTCTACCTTTCTTATTCTCCGGTTATCTGCAAAACGAGCATATTATATGTACATCACAGGATCAATAGAACTGAGATATAAATACCTAATAAATATTGTCTTTCCTCTTTGCTTTCTTACAGATTGATTTTACTTAAAGGAGACTGAATTTTTGCATCTGAAACTCAGAAAAATCAGTTATCAGATAACATATCTAAGTGTAAAAGTAGATGGTAACCCATTATTTGTAATAAGCAGAGAAAAAAAGCAAACCAGGGCAGGCTACTTTATTTAAGGACAAGGCAAGTCTTACTTAGCTTAACGCCCCAAGTCTCAGTGACATTAAAAAGTTAAGCACTACACAATTATATTTACAGATGTTATTTATGGTAATGTTTCCTACGTCTCTCAAGGAGCTGAGATGGTTGTATAAAGCCTTCACTAATTAGAGGTTGGGTCCCCTGCTAGGTCTTCATACATCTTTTAATAAAAACCTGATTCCCTGTTATATTTAGTGTAAATTCTTCCTTAATGTATCTCACGATTCTCAATGTCATTTGGATCCGAGTCCCCTGGAGTGTGGATACTTATTTGGCAAAGTGGAGACACTGGCCTCAGCCAAGGTGTACTAAATCAGAATCTGTAGTGACAAGGCCTAAGAAGCTGTACTTATTATCAAGTCTGGTGTTTTCAGGAGCAGCCAGGTGGAGACTCAGTTGCTCAAGCCCTAAACTTCAATTACTCCATTTTCCTCACTCTTCACAGCCAATCCATGAGCAATGTCACTGCCTTCCCCTGGTGAAAGGTCCCTTCCCAGGACCACTGCAATACACGGGACTTCCCATCAGCCCTTTTGTCTTCATTCAAGCTGCTTTCCACCAGCGGCAAAAGTAGTGTTCTTAAAATGTAAATCATAAAGGTAAGAGAATTAGACCAACTTTAAGAATAACTGCAATGGACTGAAACAAAAATAAATACACAATAAGACTAT